GTTCTCTAAATACCGTCAAATTGTTATTTAAATTGTTAGCTAAAACCTTTAGCTAATGTTCTCTAAATACCGTCAAATTATTTAAATTGTTAGCTAAAACCTTTAGCTAATGTTTTCTACATACCGTCAAATTGTTATTTTAATGTTAGCTAAAAACTTTAGCTAATGTTCTCTAATGTTCTCTTTAACAGGACATGAGAAAAAACTTAGAGCATGGCAGACAGGTGTGACCTCTGACATCACAGCCTGTGATGTCCTCAACTATGCGAAGTCCTAGATAGAACTGATCTTTGGTCCTACAGCCTCTGATGTCGTAAAGTATCCGGGGAGAGTCCTGAAATCTCAGCACACCACCATCTAACCTGAAATCTGTAATAAAAGCCTTTACTAAACTTTAAACTTTACTCGGATGAATGATAAATACTATACTATATTTAAACAAAGAGAGACACAGACTGACAGAGAGGAAGGGGCCAGGGAGAAAGTCTTACTGCTGCGTGTGCCTGCGTGTGTATCTGTCCTCAAGCATGAGAAACCTGCAGGATACATCTGACATTTTATTCTGTCAGTTATTTGGTATCAGACTATAGATAAGTGCTGTATCATAATCTTTAACAGGACATGAGAAAAAACTTAGAGCATGGCAGACAGGGGTGACCTCTGACATCACAGCCTGTGATGTCCTCAACTATACAAAGTCCTAGATAGAACTGATCTTTGGTCCTACAGCCTCTGATGTTGTAAAGTATGCGAAATCCCTAGAATATGTGAGACATTCCTTCTGACAATAGCTTACACTGCATTATTTGGTGTTAGACAACAGACTTATAGCTAGTTAAGAGGGGCTGACCTCTGACCCTGCAACCGTTGATGACTGTCTCAGGCAATTGTTCTGAAGGAAAACAACAGTTTAACTGTTTTACTGGAATATTTGTGGCAGCACGGTTAGTCAGTGCTGACTATGAGTTTGTAATTTCCTTCATCCGTTCCGAAAACAGTCACTTAAATTTTAAACTCTACAGATACTTTTCTGTAACACCTGCTAGTGGGATATATTTCAGTAAAAGTTCCTCGTCTGTAACTGTATTTCTTAAGGATATGTGTCAGGTAGTAAACAGGCCTACATGAGGCTACTCAAATTTAACTTTTAGCTTTCTGCAGTTAAAGTGAAAGACAAACTAACATCGATCCCTTTCCAGAATTTGTCCTCACCTCATTGTGGATGCTACTTTGCTTCAGTCTTTTTCCTGTTGTTGTATCTTGTTGTTGTATCTTCTCAGTGCTTCATGGTTTCTCCAAAATAGTAAAGGTTGGTTTAAGTACATTTGAAACTCATATTTTTTTTTTCTTCAACAATTGCTAGTGTGATGCATTTCAGTAAAAGTTCCTCATCTGTAAATTTAATTTTTTTGAGAATATGTGACAGCGACTAAACAGGCCCAGGTGAGGCTGCTGCTCATATTTATCTTTCAGTTTTCCCCAAAGTTTAAAGTTTTTTACACTGTACAACCACACTCGAAGAGTTGCTCCAACATGGTAAATTGTTTTGTTACCTTTAAAATTATCTACAGCTTTTGTCTCCGACTTATACGCTCTTTGTTTTGTTTTTTTTTGGCCCTAATGATTCTTTTACTCCATCCATTATCTAACATGCTTAAGTGCACTAACAAAATATAGTTCACCTGTAGTTGTTAAGATTCCATTACTAAAAATGTATAAATGATGAATGTGAACCATCAGTCTTAAAATAAAGAGTATCTGTTGAAATTATATAAAACTCTGAAACGTCATTACAACTGGCCTGAAGTAAAACAAGACTGTGAAGCAGCAGCAGCATTACGTACAGATAATTTAAACTGTACTCAAGTTATGAATGCATTTTTGATGCATTTGCAATCAGAAAATAAATAACTGCAATTATGTAATGCAGGTTGTTGATGTGCTATAAATAGACGTTGGTTCACTGGCGGGGACAGGATGCGTCCGTGAACCGAGACAAAAGGGGAACAAAGGACCCAGTGTTAATCACAGGCTCCTACAGGACGCATATGGTAAAGCTTAAAAAAAGAAAAAGGAACTCAAACTGCTGACAGAGGGATCGGAAGTGACCTTTGAGCAGCTGTCAGTCAAGAGCAGGGACTAAAAGTCCAGCTAACTCAAGCTGGTTAAAGGTCAAATCCACTTCATTCTCCTGCTACGGGGTATGCATCGGGGTTGAGGTGTCATCCTCCGTCCCTCAAATTCTTCCAATTAGCTCCATCAGTTTCAGAGTTCGGGAAAGATATCTAGATAGAATTGATTTTGTATTAAAATCATTTCATTCAATATTACCACCTGATTGCTGCTGTGGCGTCAAGCTGTAACTGGCCCTTGCAAAATGTGACAAAATACACCGCAGGCATGCTCATCTTAATATTGGAGGTGGTGTGTGTCTAGTTTAGACCTGGGTTGGTTGGATGCAATCCATAAATCCATTGTGAACCTAATGCCTGGATTTAAAATCCACAAGTTTGTTTTCTGATTATGACATTCATATCCATAAAGAACTCTTTCAGATTTTTCTAAATCATGCACAGTGCATGATTTAGTCCAAATAAACGATTAGACTAAAGTTATTTTGTAAAAAAGTAGACAAAACATACATTTTATTCATATACACCAATGAAATAAAACATATTTTACATTGAACAGACGCATCAAACATGAAATATGCCCACTTAAAAAAAAAAGAAAAAAAAGAAAAAGAAATCACAATTAAAAAAAGAAATCACGCATGCACAAAAACGAGGTAGCTTAACACCATTTTCAAGTCTGAAAACCTCTTCGTAGTGAGCTCACTTACAACCTTTGACATAGGTCAGAAGATAAACACTTATTTGTTTAACAAGATAACACTGACGATATGAAGTCATATTTACATTAGACAGAGCTCTGGAATTAAAAGAAGAAAACACCAAACTGAGCTGAAGAGATTGTATCTTTTTTTTTTTTTTTTTAAAATGCTGACCAAACAAAATTGGGTAAAGTCACTGCTCACTTCCTGGCGTTCTGGAGTAGTACAGATGCGTATTGGCATTTGTCCAAACTACAGGCATCTGCTCTGTTAAACTGTAACTGAACGAATGCATGTTCATGGGGTTCACTACCGGCTGAAGGGAGCTCTGGCTTGGATACACGTACTGCTGGTACATGCTAAGAGCATCGAGGGGAAGCTGGCTCTGTGTTGGATGCACACTACTTGGGAGATAAGCAGGCTGGATGTAAGGGTTGACGCCTCCTGGAGATGCCACGGTCTCAGTGTGGCTCGGTGTTGGCGGCTGTTGCCGTCTGCTCACGTCAGTGCGAGTTTGGCCTTTGAACGTCTGCTTAATGTGGCTGGACCTGGAGGTTATGATGGTATTAATGGGCAGCTGATTGATCCCAGTCTGACTGGGATCAATCCCTACTCTGCTGATCTCCTTAGGAACACTGATGTGTAACCTGTGTGGCTCGTTGAGGTCAGTGGTGGGAACTAAAGCGTTTTCTTGAGGAACAAGTGACTGGCTCATCTTCATACCCTCTCTCCTTTCAGCAGTATGTAAAGCTGGCTGACTGGAAGTCTTGCACATAGAGACTAGCTTTGAAACAAATTGCCAGAAATCTTGACGCGAAGAGTTTATAATGCCGATAGGTTGATCGAGATTTGTAGAGTTTGAAGGAATCAGGTCAGTTACTGAGTTGGAGCTCATGTCAAGAGGATCAGAGTTTCGTCTGAGCGGAGACACCCCCGGATTGAATCCTGGCTGTAGAGGATCACCACTAAATGTGTTTGGTTTGGGATGTGGGGGACCTGAAGGAACAACAGTTTTATGTCTCGAGTAAGGAGCATTCAGCTCTTGAGGACAAGGGGTTCCTCCAATCTGAGAGACGGATGATGTGTAGTGTGGCCGGAGAGAACTACTGCAGGGCTCTAGACTGAGATCTACAACAGTGGAGCTTGAAGGAACAACAGGATCAACCTTTGAGTTTGGAGGATTCACTTCTAGAGGCCTCAGGTTTTGTGCAGCAACATTTGGGTCTGGAAGGACCACATGGTCATTCTTTGAAGAGGAAGAGATTACGTCCGTCCCTGAGGTTCTTCCACTTCCAGCAGCATCAAAGCTTTCAGCCGGGGTTGGCTCTTTAGGCTGTGCTTTACCTGGATTCTGATCAGCTTTAAGAACATAATACAAGACAACAAAAAAAGAGAAAAGAATTAAAAACACAGAATAAGAAAAAAGAGGTAATAATTTACTAAAATTAAAATACATAGTTTAACTTTTTTGTAACTACTTTAGTTGTCGCAAAGGTTTCCAGATCTACTATTGTGGCTATCAGTGCAGACTAATCATTCTACCAAAATCCTATCATGATTATAGTTGATATGAAATTAAACATTAAAACATATCAGCTTTTACTAAGCAGAAAGAGCATATTGAGCCTTGTGTAGTTTCTGCACTCTGCTGTCCTGTAATACAGAAATAAAATGTTAAATTAGGAGTTTATTTGCTTAAAAGCGTAATTGTCGAGGTTAATTCATGCAGCTTTATAAGCGTTACGTGGTGCGCGTTAAAGTCACGTTTTATGTAGAATCATGAAAAATAATTTATATCCCAAGAACGCATCGATTGCAACCTCAAAATACAATGTATTTTATGTGACAGACCAACACAATGTAGGTGTACAGCATTAATTGTTAAATACAGAGAGAATATGCAGTTTAAAAAAAATATTTCACAACTACAATTAGCATCATTGAAACAATCATCTGAAGATGAAAGAAGCATGGAACAGCTGCAAACTAATAAAAGACGAAATAAGAGACGAAAACTAAACGCATTTTAGTTTTGGTCTCTGTGTGAAAAGACAGGCCAGGCTGCAGACAGGAGCCGCCCTTCAGATTACTGGATGCAGCTGCTGCAGTTCACAGCAAGCAGAGGCAGCGGTGAGGTCAACAAAGAGGGGGAGTCAAGGACAGAGGCGCTTCCCACAACAAGTATCCAAAACACAACCAGGAGAAGCAGAAACTGTGCACATGGGAGTGTTATAAGCATGTGAAAAAAGGTAACTGATAAATACACAAGAAGATGGGAGGAGGCAAGAAATTTAGGACATTAAAAGCAAACGTAAAGCAGAGTGGTGCGACATTATTTGACAAAGCAGGCTGTAACGCTCGTCTTTCACTGTACGCACTAACCGTTCTTGTGACGCCGATGGCCAGCAGAGCCAGATGGATGAAAATCACTCAAATCTTCATCTCTGATGCTCTTCAAAAGTTCTAATGCTACAAAAAGAAAAGTGAATGCACAGAAAACAGATTAGTACAAAACAAGATTGTGGAATGTTTGCTTAAAACCATGGTTGAAAGATATCCAATTTAAAATTTATGGCAAGGATTCACATTTGAGCTTTCACCAAAGGTTTTCACCCAGTCTGGCTTGAGCTCCGTCTCCAAATGTGCAAATTTGGTGGAGACAGAAGCAGGTTTTGCTGCATCTGAAGGTGATTTCAGATATTCTCCCAGAAAACCTGCTAGGCCTGGTGTTGGGGTGCCAGGCAGCAGCCTACTGAGTTTTTGGGTTAAAAAAATAAATAAATGAATAAAAAATTACAAAAATTTGGAGGTGCACAAGTAGGCATCATAATGTGGAAATAATAGTGCGTAAGGCCAATGGGCGGGTGCAGAGAGGGCCCTAACCGCCAGTTCAATGTGTCAACTATAAATCAGGCTTATTCCGTCTTTACTGTCAGTTACTAGTGTATAAAAATATCCCTATTTAAAATAAACAACACTTAGCCTGGTGGGTGGCCAAGTAAAGCCTGGGGGCCCGCCAGGCTTAAACCTGGGATTTGAAGTCCAAGCACCGACTTTGTGGGTTGAGTACAAATGCACACCGCACTTTTCAGATTTATGTTTGAATTATTTTTGAAACATCTAAATTTCTTTCCATTTCACAACTAATTGCATCAAAGTTTTGTGGTTGTGACAAATATGAAAAAGTTCAAAGGGTCAAAACGCGGTTCATGTTGCACAATTCTTCAGATAAACTACGCATTTTGAGTTCTTTTTAGGTACAATTTACACAGGACAATGATTTCATCAACACTTGCTAATTAAGTTGACAGTTACCTTTACTGAAAGGAGCTGCTAGGAGAAATTTGTGGTCCTCAGGTCTCAGCCATATGCACTTGAAGAAAAAACACAAAGTCGGTACTTGTTCATTATTTTTTGCAAAGCGTCAAACGAAACTAGATAACAGAAATGCTCCGTTGACTCAACGTACCTTTGGTTTAACATTAAGAGCCTTCTCCCGCTTTGACAGTTCTTGGATAACATTCATTAAAACCTGATTTTTAAAGTCCAGAGGTAAGTCATCCTGTAGCCAAAACATGTCCAGGAACCTTTGGTCCTCCCTCCACTGAAAAACATGGGACTTTATTAAAAAAAAAAAAAAAAGAAAGAAACTGTACAAACGTGTTTTTGAACAATTGCTCCATGTCATTCCCAATACACACCAAGAATTTGAGCTGGTGGTTGAGGCTGACCATGTGCTGACAGATATCTCGGGATGAGAGCATCTCTTCACAGGTTTCGCACAGGAAGGTTTTCTGATATGAACTATGACACTCCCACACGTACGCCCTGCCTGGTAAATTCAAACAATTTTAACATGTTACATGCTTCTACGAAGAGACGGGATGCTGAGGACACGCTGATGGAGGGACACTCACCAGCAACCTTTTTGGGATCCTGATTACTTGCCGTCAGGAAGATTTGCAAATCACTGGATTGTAGAACATTTTTTCCTGTAAAACCCACGTGTTACTAAAAATCCGTGCACAAATGCCAAAGAACAGGCGCAGTTCTGATGCTCAGTACTGACCAGACAAAGCAGTGGAGATTGCCTGTGAAGAACTGCGCTCTTCAGGTCGTAAGTGAAGCGCAGGATCTGGTTCGGCTTTGTGGCCCGATTGGTTCTGCTGCCCTGCCGTGACTTCCGGTCCGGAACGGCACACTCTCGCAGGCGACACTTTCTCCGCTTTCTGCGGCTCCTGGAAAGCTGCATCACTCTTCAACCGCTGTCTTACTGAAGTTAGACGATTATCTTGATTCTTGGACGTCGTTTCCACACTTGGTGCTGAATTTGAATATCAAACAAAAATAAAAACATGCAGAAAAATAAAATCATACGATATACTTTTGTTATTAAAAGTAAAATCATAGAATATTAATAACTTGTCAACCGTCTGGGATTTTATTCTGACGAAAACAAAACCAGAGAGTGAAGCGGCTTCACATCAGGAGCTAATAATCATTTTCACTGATGACACTGAATGAGATTGTTTCGGTTGGATTTTTTTTCTTCTAAAATGTTCACTGTGTAATTAAGCTACACAAAAAAGCAAACATTCGTTTCTTACCAGGGGTAGTAATTTTCATTTCAACAACAAAAAAAAAAGAATAAAATGTGGGACATAAAGAGCTTTCCTTACGCAGGCTCTCTCTCGAAAACGCGACTTCACGACGAGGCCGACTGTCATCTTGCACCATCAGCTGATTCTGCTGGGGAGTTCCTAAATTAAACAAAGTATTTCAGTTCAAATGGAATTGTAAACTTTGTCAACTCTCTAAAAGAAAATGTTGTTGAAAATGTCACGCCCGCTTCAGTTTCATCGCCTGGAATGGGATTTGGGTTCATTTTATTGTCACTCATTGATTGTAGGTGCTCCTGAATCAGATTTTGTGCTTCTAGATCTTTACCACTTGAGCTCTGGTGTCTCTGTAACTCAGCTGGACGACGCCTTTCTGCACTTTTCCGGATCGTCTCTGGATCGGAACAAAGGAGGACAAAATTTTAAACGCTGTGCAACAACAACATCTTGACTTCCAAGCTTGGCAAAGTCAACAAATGTCATACTTTAGAGCTAGTGCAACTAAAACTTGTTAAGGTGCAACATATAAACCAGATGCAATTGGATACTGCATTTAAAGCAGATGAGTTTAGTTAAGACAATTTTCCGATGTAAAAAAGAGCCATTGAGGCTACGCCGCTTTAAAACAGGAACAGTTGTAACGCACAGCTTTTCAAGTGAAATATCTCAAACGAAAAGTGTGGCTGCTCTTCCTCAACATAAAAACTGAAGGGGTGAGTATTCTTATTTTTCCTAAAAATGATTTCATCCAGGAAAAGTGGACATGTCTTAATTATTGTATAAGACTTAAATCAGACTCGATAGATGTTCTAGACAGAATATAAAACCTCTAAAAAAAACACATCCAGCATACCTGCCGTATGTTCAGCTTGAGCACATCGATCCAAAACTTGTTGTGGATCCTGGGTTTGCATGGCTTCATCCTGGATCTCTTCAACCACTTGCACGTCTTCCTCATCCGAGCTCGTTTCGCTCAACGACTGGCCTGCAGACACGGCTGCGTCATCTTCATCGACGCACTCAATTTCTGCATACGAAGACGTAAAAAGGGTTAAAAACTACACTGACTGCTTAGAATAATCCGTATAATAACTCTCGTTTGATGTCTCACCCGACGCTTGGTCCGGGCTTGCCCAGAATTGATGGTCGTCTGCAGAGTCTGACATTTCATCGTGAAACGCTGGGATCCCTGAGAGTAAGCGTTTAGAGGGAGAGGTTCGCTAATTTACTGACCACTGCGCCGAATGTCACTCGCACACATTAACGACACAAAAAAAAACATCTGAAAACGTGAGCGAACGGTCTACATGCGTTGCTTAATAATTAGAGGTGCGTTAGAGGAAGCTACGCCAAGCTAACATTAAAACTTACAATCACCTGAGCTTGAAACGTCACAGGGACTGGAAATGCCCTTGGGAGGATGCTCCGTGTCATCGACCGAGCGAGACGATGGCGCCTTCAGGTCTCTTTGCTTCAACAGTGTTTTCACGGTTTCTATAGCTGAGAATCAAAAGCATAAGTAGAGTCACAAAATTGACACACACACACTGCCAAATATTTTCCTCAATAACAAAAATGAGTTCAGATCAACAGTTCACCAAAATAAAGCAGGACCAAACAACAGAAAAAAAAAAAAAACAATAGTGTGATTTTAGGAGATGCAGAATAAAACGATGTTATATTTACCCAAGTGGTCTGGGAGTTTTCTCAGTGTTTGGTACTCTTCCGTTTTCACCTCCAATCTCTAGGAAAAGCAAATATCCACACAAACAACATGAGGCATATGTAAAAACCTCAAAGCGTACATTTTTTGTGCACACAAGAATAATTGAATTCCTTCAGAACAAAGAAAAAGGGTAAAAAAAAAGTGCAAACAGAACATTGATTAAAAAACAAACAAAATTGGCCTCTGCCTCTTTAAGAAGCTCAACTGGAGACAGCAGCTCCAAGGAGGAACTTTGTGGAAACAGGTGATTCAAGGATTCCTCAAACGTGAGAGAATAACGTAAATATCATTCTCTTTCTCTGGTGTGTTATTTACCAAAAGACACACAAAGCTGATTTTGTTCAACATACCTGAACAATCTGAGTGTGAGGCAACTCTTTGTCAACATTTGCCAACTTATGAATGATGCGGCTTAACTCGTTTTCCATGTTCTCCTTCACAGACCATTCAGGATATTTCATTTTCTAATGAAAGGGAAAAAAAAATAAAATAAAAATAATCTAAGCATTGATTCTCCTTCTTCAAGGCTGCAGCTGTACTCGTACCACGAGTTAACAGTCACATACCACATATTTGTACTGGTGGACCGAGTTGCTCGGATGGCTGGATGTATTCAGTCTGAGTGAACACAACAGACAGAAGACCTGCTGCTTTCGCTCACAGGACACCACAACCAGGTAGTTCAATCCTGTCCAACGGCAACAAGATGCACACGTTTAAAAAGACTCCGATGCATGCGTAAAATGCGTTGGACGTTTTATGTAAATTGAACGATGCTTACCAACTTTAGGAAGGTTTCTACCAGGCGTTGTCTTACTCGATGCGTTATGAGGCAGGTCTTTCCGTACCTTCTTGGTTTCTTCTGGTTTCGGGTGATGGGAGGCCGGCGGTTTCCTCTTGCAAGCGGCCGTTTCAGAGTCCGGGTTTCCCCTCGTCAATGTCTTTACAGAAGGTTTAGTATTTACGTTTATGACTTGTGGTTTAGCCATGTCAGAAGCGGCAGATGATGCTTCCTTAGTCTTAGGCGCTGCCGTGTCTTTGGATTTGAGAGGATGTTTGTGTTTAAGTGTCGCTGCAGATCCAGTGTCGGACGAGGATGCAGCGCCGCATGCTTCTTTAGATGGCGTTTGACCTTTTGGTGCCATGGACGCTGTCTGGGACTGTGGAGTGGATGTTTTTGAAGTGGTGGAAGCGGTTTTTGTCTGTGTGGAAGGGCCTGCGGTAGATTTCAATGTATTCGTTAGAGCAGTGGAAGGAACGGCACTCGGTTTTTCAGATTTTGTAGCCGCTTCAAACGTTACTGATTTCATTTTGGTTGGAGAAACGTCCGCTTTATATTTTGCGTTTGCGCTTCGAGGACTTGAGCCACCACCGCTTCTCCCGTCGGCGGGCTCTTTGTTACTTTTGGGAACAGGTGAAGTGTGGGAGTTCTCAGAGAGGGACGATTTCCGTTGATCTGTGTTGCTTGTGGGTTTTTTATCGGATGTGTCTGGGGCTGCGCCTCGCTCATTGGAATAACAAACCACCTTTAAAAAGGAACAAAGCAAAGAATAATTAGCAGCATGTTCAGTTTTCCTTTGTTAAAGTACAAATGTGTGTCACAAGATGTGGCAGATCCGCAACCCAAACTCATCAATGTAACCGAGATCCATTTCCGCAACAAATTAGAATATATGTATAAACATATATCACCTTCTTGTGATCCTCTTCCTTATCAGCTGCATTTGTGTTTGTCACTTTTGTGCCACTTTTGTGTGACATTTTGGTGGATTCTTCAAAACGCGACTCGTCGGAGGCGAGCCGCTGTCTTTTTGGGCTCATTTTGCATCCATTTCCACTGGCTTCATCTGGAGTCACTGGCATTTTTCTCTTGTTCGTTTGTTGTTGGGTTGCTTCCGGTTTGATACTTGAGCTGCCTTCTGGTTTAGTCGAAGCACCGTTATTCTCTTCAGTGTTTCTGTGGCTCTCCACGACCTTCTCCTTTGGGTTTTCAGTCATAGCCTCTTCTGTGCTCAACTTCACTGGCAGGACTGTCCCTCCTTCATTTTTTAAGTCCTTCAGACACACTTTTTGAGATCCTTCTTTGGTTTCTCTCGACAGTGCCTCCTTGGCACTATGTCGTTCTTCTTGATTCAGGCCTTTTTCTTTCGTGTTAGGGGCGGTGCATGTTTTCTGGTCCTCTGTCTTTTGCTGTTTGTTAGTGGGTTTCGGAGGGATCCTGGAAACTGACACATGCAGAGAATGTAAGAATACACATTTCATTTCAGTTATGAATACAACAATGTAATCCATTCGTCGTATGAGCAAAATTAAAGTCAATACATTTGCAGTTCAAGTATAAGACGACAATGGGTAAAGATTCAAAGAACAGTATTCCAACAGACAAAATGAAAACAAATGATCTAATCAAAGTGATTCTTTTATAGAATAGATTACAGACTTATTATTTCTAAATTTATTTTTCAAAATATTCTTTTATTTGTGCCCTGAGTCTCTGACGGGACTGTCCCAGTAAGCAGTCCCAGTGCTTAATTAGGTCTGGTGCTGGAGAAAGTTTGATTGCTTTAACTACATGTAGATCACCTTATGTAAAATAAAAAGTGTTGCACATTTTTGTGTAGTACAAAAAGAACATTTAGTTTTGACTTACCCAGTTTCCGCATTGGGTTTATTGGAGGTACAAGATTTTCATTATCCGTTATCTGCTTTGCATTTGTCAAGAACATCTTTGCTATAAAAACATATATTTAAAAAAATGTTAATAAAGCAATCCAGTTAAAGACACCAGGGTTGATATTTACAAGAATCCAAAGGATCACCTTCTTCGTAACTGCATGAATCCCACAATGGTTTGTCCAAGGAAATTTTCTGAGAGAGTAGAGGATATCAATACCAAAAACATAGCTACAACTTGAGAATGGGCCAGAAATACGATTTTAATTATGAAATACCTGCATGCAAGACAGAGGGTGAAGCTTTGCTGCCTGCTTTGCCAAATCCAGAAGCGTTTCAGCGTCGACAGCACAGGAAGTCAGTGAGCCCGGATGAAAACAGTCCTAAACACACACACACACACACACACATTACAGTATGGACTATGATTATTTTGCTGTTGTCATAACAATCAAGTAATATGTCCCAACTGTATGAATACTCAAAGGGCAGAAACCACACAAACTCAGACGTAACTTTGCCATTCTGACAACTAGAAGTGGAGCTCTGACATCAGTGTCAATATAATATCACATTTATATTGTGATATTATATTGACAATATAATATCACAATATA